ATCACCGCTCCATTTTTGTCAATCAATGTTTTAGGACGTTGTTTCTTAAAGCTACCGGTATTCTTGCATAGACAACACTGCACTATTTCTGCAAGCACCGAGAAAGCTCACAAAGGGCCTAGCTTGACCAGGATTTGAACCGTCGCCGGCTTGATCGTGGTAGGGCGACTTAACCATTCGGCTATTAGTCGCCCTAATTTAGTAATTAGTAATTACTAGTAATTAGTTCGATTTTTCATAAATTACAATTTATTTAAAAAAAAATATATTTCTAGTATTTTTTGCGCTTCCCTTTACGCTAATACGCGGAGGGGCATCCTCGAGTATCAGAATCTTAACAACTTAATATGTGGGCCCTTCCACATCAGACCCTTGATATGCTGTAGTTGAGATTTTTAGCATTTTAGAACTAATTAAGGGATTTAACTCAAATAATTTAAATATAATAAATACTAATTCACTGTGGTTGAAAATTATTTAAATGTTAAGTAATAAAGATCAAATGACAAAATCAAATTATTAATTTAAATTAACATAAATTGATACAAAAAAAAAATAATAAAATTAGTAGCTAGAAATATTTAACATCAGCAACTTGTATTTACTAATAAAAAGAAAGGTTATAACTTTGAGCAAATCGCATAATAAAACAATATGTTAAATTATATATGTTTAAGTTAAAGAAATGTATGATAATTACTGAATAAATTAGAAAAAATACAAACAAGACTCACACGCTATACTCGGGGTACTAAGAAAATTCTGTAAAATTAACATATATTGTATATTATATAATAAATAAATATGTTTAAAAATAATTTAAAAAAAGTAATTTAAATATAATCATTACATTGAATTGCAAGATATAGTTTTTCATGTATACAAAATATGAACTTTAAACTAATGCATTTGATGACAATTTGATAACCATCGATTTGTGAAGAGATACAATGAAAAGTATGATCATTAGTTCAATTTTTCTATTATGTATTTTTTTTTCATTATTTTTTTTAACCTTGAGAGCGAACGAAATGTGCAACTCCGTGCTGATTATTATGTCATAAAAACAGATAATTTCTAACAACTAAAAACCATAGACGTAGATTAAAAAAAGATACAGTTTACCAATGTATAATATTATTTTCTACGCTTTACAAACAATATATTCTTATAGTTATATATTACTTTCTTTTGATGTGTTGTTTTTTTTGTTTTATTGTCTTTGAAACTGACTTATCATGTTATGCTATTTCAAATATTATTCTTCTTTTATCAATGTAATCGGCATAGCATATGTCTGTATGTAATGTGTTTTGAATTTAATCAAAATTGTATTATATAAAACAAACTTTGAAATGCAATATCATCAAATTCATCTAACATTCCATATATTTTTTAAATATTTAATTGTTTGACTTTCGTAATCAATTTTGAGATAATGTAATTTTTATTTCTTTATATTCTGTAATTCCTCGTATAACGCTGTTTCCATAAAACGCGAAACACAAATTGTGACAGCCTTCTTATAACGCGGTTATTACATAATTCAGCTTAATTAACTTAAAAATTGTTTCTGCAAAAGTCTTTAGAATCTAAACTTCAGATAATGAGGAATTGATGGTATAGCGATACATTAAATGCAATGGATACAGAATATATTATATTTGAATGATGTGAATAATTTAGCAAAATAATTATAATTTGTATAAATTCTTATTTTCTTATAACGTGGTTTCCATATAAAGATGTTAAGAGTTTCATAGAACGCTTAACTAATTAATCTATAAGTCGGCAGTAGGTTGCTTCAGGATCTCCGTTGTTAACAAATCATATCCAGGTTCACCGAAGTTTTAAACCTTCGTATATCTTCAAAATTATTTGATTAATGCTGAATGACGGTATTGAAAACGCCATTTATATAATATTTTTTATAAAATTATATTATGGATTATTGACATATAAAATTGATACATCATTCTCAATCAGTTAAAATCTCTTCTTTAATTATACTTTTATCACTCTTTTTTTCATATTATTCTGCAACGTTATGAAACAAAAATTTTAATTAATTAAAATAAAATAATCATTTCTTATTATATTTAATCTAACAAAAATATAAATAATTATATAAGAACGCCACTGGAAATACGAAGCGAATTAAAAATATTGTATAGTACTTCCGGTATTAGTTATTAAAAAAAAATGCACAATATATTTTATTATGTGTATTGTTGCAGTTTAGAATATAAAAAGCATACAATCCGAGAGTAGAAGCATGCATTCAACTGCTACTTTATCCAACATGAAGTATTTTGTAGCAATCGTCGTTCTCTTGGCTATTTGGGTAAGTTGGAAATAATTTGAATGTTAATATTTATTATGTGTAAAATTTAAAATAATTCAATTTTAATCAATATGCATTTGCGTGTTCCATTTACTTATTTTCATATTGTTTGAATTATTATCGCTGTTTTTTTTAAATTATAAATGAAGCAAACTATCTTTATTATAATCAAGAGATGAAACAGCAATTCCACTTCACATATATAACAAATATTTATGCACTCAAAAACATTGATTCATTTAGTTGTTTCTAAATCTGTTGGGTAAATCTTCCGGTTTGAATCTCTTTAGTCTTCGGTAATGATTTGCTGTATGCATCAGCCCCGTAGCTACTTGGTTTGGATGGTTCGATAGCCGGTGGTAGTATCTTGTGCTGGCCTTAACTATATCTTCCTTAACGAAACTAATGTTAGCTTGCTTGTGGATGTCAACATTTCTGTAGAATCATGGAGCATTGGTAATTTCTATCCGCGTATTAGACTGAAATCTCTGTATCAATGTTGGTGCTACAGGCAGATTCCCAAAACAGAATGCTGTTGGTTCATGTCGGTTTTAAGATGGCCTTGCACTTTGTCGCTTTTTGAATAACAAATTTTATGTAGTACTTTATAATTTATTTATTTTATTAGTTTCATAAATTATTGTATTGTTGAGTGATAGTGAATATATTTTAAAGTTATAAACTTTTGTTCCTTTATAGTGCGAGTTTGGGGCTTCTAAGCCTAGTGGAGGTATCGATACTGGAAACGTTGGCATTCCAAATGGTGGTCATCTTGGGTTTGTAGGAAAAGCTGGAGCAAATGGACAAGATGGCCCTAATGGTGGAAGCCCTTCTGGAGGTCCTAGTGGACCACCACCCAGGGGACCCCCACCTCGTGGAGGAGGACTTATCTCCGCCTTCAATGGAAATAACAAAGCGAATTGCAGACGACAAAGTAACATTTACATTCAGATTATAATTTCTTTATTAACATTTACATTTGGAATTTTTAGATGCAACAACCGCAGCTCCCACAACAGCAGCCTCTGGATAAAAATGAATAATTATAATAATAAATGCATGAGATTTGAATAAAAAATATATAAATAAAGAAATATCAGTAAAAATGAATACATTTTGTTTAATTTTTCTTTTCAAATTATTGGCGGCAATTTTTTGAATTACATTAATTGCTGCAGTACAGCGCCCTCATTGTCAGTTTGACAATTTTGACGCGACGCTTTTTATTTTGTTTTCTCCTTTATTTTTGTTTAAGAAGTTTTCTATTATGTTTCGTCTTTGTTTAATATTATTTTTAGTTATTAGTTATTAAGGTCACTCATTTACATTATAGTGAATATATGCAGAATTCTCGTTGGTAAGTCTAGATTTCAAGAGTGTTTAATATTTACACTATTTGTTGGTTATGTTTATTTCCTCTTATTGTATTCTCGTAGGTAAACCATGGCTAAGCAATTACGAAAACGAAAGGCAGTCAATTATAAAGAAACAGATGACTATTATATAAATGGAAAGAAAAGTCCACCAGTTGTTGTTAAATCAGAACCCGACAGTCCATCCAGGGTAATACCTGATGTTTTATATGCAGAAGATGGTTCAGTGTTCTATCCATGTAAGAATTGCTGCAGAGCCTTTTCCAATAAAGATGACATGGAGAAGCATGATGAGGTATGTGCATCAGGTGGCAGAAGCACACCAAGTCCGTTCTCAAAAAGCCCAGCTTCAAATAAAGAGAATGACGATGAGGGCAATAACAATGAACCTCAAAATACACCAAAGCGCAAAAAGAAGCAGGAGTTAAACAACAACAAGACAAAAATGAGTGCAAACCGAAAATCACACAAATCTGCAGGTGAAGCAACAAATGTTATAACAACTGGGTCTGCTTCTGAAAACATATATACATTGAATGAAAATATGCGGACTTCTGTGTTGAAAATCATCAAAGAAGCTCTAAAAAACTCACCAATGACATTAGAATCAGATGAAAACAATGCGATAATATTGAAAACTAAACCAACTGATAAACTACCATCTATCAAAATTACTTCAAAGAATCTCAATGCTAATTGTGTTGAAGTTAAGACTGTTATGATGGATAGAACAGCCAGTGAAGTGATTCCAGATGTCAATGAGATTGTGGATAGCATTTTTAAAACAAACAAAAATACTTCAAAGAATAAGACTAGTTTGATGGATGAAATAACTGGTGAACTGATTGCAGGTGATTCTTCAAAACGTCACAATGCTAATTGTGTTGAAGTTACGACAGTTAAAATGGATGAATCAGCAAGTGAAACGATTCCAGATGGTGCTGAAGTTGTGAATAGTATTTATAAATTAAGAAAAAAAGAACCTTCTTCTAAAAAAAATACTTCGAAGAGTCTCAATGCTAAATGTGTTGAAGTTAAGAAAGCTAAGAAGAATGGAGCAGATTGTAAGGTGATTCCAGATGTTACCGAGATTATGGATAGCATTTTTGGATCTAGCAAAAATGAGGCAGACTCTGAAGAGGTTATTGAGCCTGAGACTAAGACAATTAAATCATCCCCAAAGTCGGTAACTCGGACTGTAACAGAAAATGTTGAAGAACAAGATATGGGGGAAATAGTGATAGATGATGATGAAGTTGAGGGTACAATTGTTCTTGAAGATTTGGATATTCATATTTGCAAGCAGTGTGGAACTGTATTCCATTCATTGGATGATTTGGTTAACCACGATAAATATGAGCATAGAAATGTTAAGAAGAAATATCCGCCTAACGAATTGGAGAAGTTCAATGCTTTGTACAAAGCGGCCGAGGATAAAAAGTGTCCCATATGTTCAAAAGTAATAGTGTCAAAGCAGGCTTGGCCACGGCATTTGCAAACTCACAGCGATGTTCTTAAATTCCAATGCAGAATTTGTAAGAGGAAATTTACAAGGAATGATCACAGGAAATTGCACGAAAAGCGTCATATTGTTAATACTGAATTCCTATAAGCTTTAACAAGTTCTTTTTTCTTCATTTCTTTTAAAATATATACATCGTATTTTCTACTATTAAGTCTATATTTCGAAATTCTTCCAGAGAACGTTGTATCTGCAATATGTTGAAATTACTAAGTGCCTCGTTTTATACAAATGTGTGTTATATTTATATTCATAGGTAACATGAGAAAATGATATTAATATTTTTTATACGAAATCAACGTTACTTTTTTCTAAAGTTAGTTGTTATAAACATTTTTTAGAAATTATGTTTGGATTATATAAAAGGAATAATATATACTTTTTGTACTTCCTTTTTTATATATAAATATATTACTTGTTATACTATACGTTTTAAGGAGTTTTTTGTGTTAAATCGAATTTAGCCTACCAAAATATATATATATTACGCAATATATAAGTTATATCATACCAATTCAATATTTGTTAAGTTTTAGTTTTATTTTAGTCGCTGTAAGAGCGTTCTTATATTAATTTTAAGATTTTCGCTTAATTTTAAAAGTGTTTCTTTTTTTTAATTATCATTTACAATTATTGTATAAATTGACAATAAAATATATTTTGAAGTTCATTTACATTTTTGTAATGGTATTGATTTATTGGGAACATGTTTTATTTAATGATTCATTAATTGACTAATTTATAAGATTTTTATCGATTTATTATGGGTTTAGTTGTTTGTAAAGCAGTAACTTGGCAACTGGGAATGTCGGCTTTCAGCGGAAGGATCGGAATCACCTCAAACATCAAAAGTACTATGAACTACAAACAACCCAAGCGTACTATCGCATCAATGAAGCATCACTCCAAATGTTGTCCACAGTAAGTTTTACATAAAAAAATACCAACTTAATACAAAATAATATTTACTTACCGTCGTTAAAAATACTTTCCACATTTGTATATGGAAAGGTAAGTGCTTTAAAATGCCTTAAGAAACAATCAAGTTCTTCAGATTTATGGTAATTTTATTACATACGCTTTTGTAATATTAACTACGAATTATTATTAAAGATTCGAAGGATATATACAAAATATTTATACTTTTATTTTAGTTTTATTCTTTAACTTTAAGATGTTAAACTTATACAAAATCGTTTTTAATATTTAATGACATGATTCATGTCAATCATTTTCTAGTAACTTATATTTTAATAAATTAATTATTAACGGCTTGGAATTATGGATTAAATTGGATTAAATTTTCAGGTCTCAAAAGAATTGGGCAAGACGAAACAGTTCGACAAATGTAAGTTCAGTTATAACCGATTTCGAAGACTGCTGTGCTGATTCGGATAGCGAAACCCCAAGAAGACTGATTCGTTCTCAAAGCCCAAATCCTCAACATCTAACTGCTTTTAAGATTAGATGCGAATCCCCCAGATGTGATGGCAACAAAGCTGTCTTTAAATTCACGCCAAAGCGGCAGCAGTATGAACATTTGTGTCAAGATTATTTTGAAACGACGTGCAAGGACGTTGCGTCGAACACCGATCTAGATTTGACAAATTTCCGTGATCAGAACTACTTCGAGTGTCACGGGGGTTTCTCGAAAGCACCCTCAACCGTTCCATCTCATCGTTGCTCACATAAATTTACACTGGACGATAAATTGAGGTCTAAACCGCAAAAAGTAGATGAGTACGGTATTAGCAGATGCAGCACTTGCTCCAAAGTTATATCTACTAGGAGCCTCCAATACATTCCACAGTGTTCGGACTCAAATCAAAGTCTTAAATTCTTACCTCCTTCCTCTAAGAGTTACAAATCATCGGGGACTAATACAATGAGCGTATGTTTGCAAGCCACCGATGAAGATTTGATCTTCGACGTTTGTCAAGATATGATCGAGAACGAGTTTTCCATGCCGAAGCTGCGCAAGGTGGCGAGAAAACGTGTTCCTCCTGTGGACAGCTTGGCTTTGCGCTTCCAAAAAGGTGTATATTAATCATGTACTATTTATATTTCTATATTTATTTTTAAAATATATTTTGTTGCTGTTGCACTGAACTTAGGGTGTAAACAAATTTTATTTAGTCTGACCGAGAAATGGGAGTATAAAATCTAATGGCAGCGGGAATATAATCGTGGAATTCTTTTCTGCTGATATGTTGTTCAGCGTTTGAAGGTATCGTAGCTAGAATAGATATTAAATTTTTTTAAAATATATATATACATATATTTCGCATTGCGTTTTGTAGTTATTTACCTGTAGAGCAGCGGGACTTGCGTGGATTACATCTGCCGCTTCTCGCAAAGCCTTCGAAGCTTTCATCTCACCTTCTGCAGCGATAACCTTTGCCCTAGCTTCCCTTGTTGCTTCAGCTTCTGCTGCCATAGCCCTTTGCAACTGCGTTGGTAAACTGACGTCTTTTCTGAAATTTGAAATAATTTTAGTGGATTCTTAAAATTTCTAATTTTCAATTAACATTTCAACTCTTTCCACTTTCACTCCCCATGGATCGGTGGCATCATCTAAGGATGCTTGCATCGCATGCGATATTGCTTCACGATCTGAAAGAATTTCGGCCAAGTTCCGTGTTCCAAGGATGTTGCGAAGTGTAGTCATTGCCAATAAACGCGTAGAATTGCTTAAATTTAAACAACATTAACATTGCTTATTTAAACAGTTTTCATGCTTACCTGTAATTGGTAACTTGAACTACTGCATTGAGTGGGTCTTGAATCCTGTAATATACTACTGCATCTACAGTCACTGTCACCGAATCCTTAGTTAACGCCTAAAAATATAAATGCCAATTAGAATAAGTCATAACTATTCAATACAAAGCTAAATTTGACAATAAAGATAACTATTTTTGAGAAGAATGACAAAAAATAGTCACATTAAGTAGTTACAATTATTATATGAACTATTAAATATTGATGGAATTAATATGATCATACTTTTTCTACATAAATTACAAAGTATACATTAAACGTTATTTTGTCCTGAGCATCAACAAATAGTCATATTGAACAAGGAAATACATGAAAATTTAAGGATTTACGGAGTGTTTCGTTGCAGGAAAAGTTTGGGAAACCCTGGATTAGATATTCACGGAAACTCTTGTTATTAGTTATTATGAATGAAACTAGACTATGATTCAAAATGTCGTATTCTATTATTTATTATAATAATAGTTTACTGTAGGTGATCACTTAATCTTCCAAATTATTAACATAATGTTTATGTTTACTATAATCCGTTGCATATTTCAATATTTTATTTGCTTTGTTTACATCCTATTCCCACAAAATTGGTGACCCTCCTCAATATGTCCTCCGGCGTACCTTCTATGCTTGTATCGTGGTAATGTTTATTAATGATTCGGTTCCGTAAAATCAAGGTTAAAAACTAATCAATCAATAAGTAAACAATTGACGCGTTGTTTATTGATTGAATAATTAATTAATGCGTTAGTCATTGATAAATATGTAATTAATGTTTGTAGATTGAATAGTTGGTTTTTAACTAATTAATGTAATTGTATACAAAAATCTTACTTCTTGCGGTGGGACATCGAATGAAACGGTTCTTAAATCAACTTTCCTGTAGGTATCGACACAGGGAAGCACAAAAAAGATTCCAGGTCCTCGAGCGCCTCCAGTTCTGAGTCGACCTAAGCGAAATATGACCGCCCTCTCATATTCTCGAACAACCTAGGAAATTGTTATAGGAGATACCGTTCAGAATCTATCACCAATAACATACCTTGAAACAGAAGAATAGCGAGAAAGGCATGGTGATGATGAGGAGCAGGATGGACCATGCTGTAGCCAGAAACTCAACGAAACCCATTGCATTGGGTTGTTCTGCAAAAAGAGCGTTGTTAATCATTTGGTGTCGTTCGGGTGCGGCTGCTGCTGCTCTCACTGTATTCACAATAAAGCTCGATTCCTCCGCTGTTGGTCCTGTTGTATCCAAGGTTCATGTATAAGACTATTTAGGCCTAAACTTAACACCGCGGCACGTCTGGCTGTACTGCCGCTTAATTACCGACGACTAATTTTACTCCAAGACGCGAAGCCGATCATCTTCGAGTGGGGTCTCATTCTTATGATCCAGAAATTCAATAAATAATGAATAATCTCTTCACATAATAGAAGTAGTTTATTATTAGCAACGTTTATAATACATAAAAAGCATGACTATACTAGTAGTTAATTTTTTTTAAATAAGTTTGTTTGCCCAACTATGCTTTGTTTATCGTGATTAAGTGATGTTCAAAGCGATTCCGAAAGAAACTCATCGAGCCCAATTGGATACAGATATTTTGATTGATTTTCTAATACTCTCCGCACGATCATCCGTGTTTTCTTGGAAACTTTTCGTGGTGTACAGGAGCCGGTATTTAATGGCGGTATTTAAAATATTTACAAGCCATTAAATCAAAACACATGCGGCCTCCGAAAGATCTGCTTAATTTCCAAGCTGCTTGTATACGTTATACACACTTTCATTAACTCTGCGTCCTGTATACAACGACGGCCGTAACAAAAGCTCACCGAATACCAATAAAACGTTCAACAGCTCAAGATTGAAATGGATACGTTGATAGCATTTCCATGCATCCATCAGAATTTGGGAACATCGTTGATGGAACAAAAACAATGCGCGATTATCTGTGTGTTTTCGATGCGGGAAAATTGACGTGTTTTTGAGCGCGGATCAAATGGTCGTAATTATTTTTGCCTTCGGAAATCCATTTAACGCCTTCCAGCTGCGACGACTGAAACCATTTACATTTTATTTATAGAATTTACTATAAACAAAACGTGAGTCCGCCCATACGCACAGGTTCATTATTTGCATCGAAATCGGTGATCATTCCTCGCTCTCGGTGCTAATTACATTTATTATCTATTTATTGGTGCTTTGGGCTCTCTAGTTGTAAGCAAAAATACACAATCATACTTAGTAAATAAATAACTGAACATCATAAAAAGTTACATATAAACACGTTATTCCAAATGCTTATTCATTAAAAAAATACATTATTTTCATTTACAGCCAGTTTATTGTATTTATGTATATAATAAATTTTATTTGTCCACTATATTTTTATCATTATTATAAACAAGTAAACAAGTTAATAAATTAGGTCAGAAAGACCTATGGTTTTATTGTTGTTACTAAAATTACTACTTTCTGACATGTTTACACATCAGTCTTTGACCAACTTTTTTACCTCACAGCTAATTTGTTTTATGACACACCAAATAATTTCCTTAGAAATTATATATATTTTTCACAAGAATCTTCCATGATATGTATATATTTCTTTTTATAATAAATTTATTATTTTCAATCTGCCAAATGCTGGCAACGATTAAATTGTTGTGATGTTTCTCACTAAACATAGAGATTTCACTTTTCACGGTATTAATTGGAGGTTGTTGTGGATCACGTCATATCAGCAAGCTTGCACCAGGGTACGCAGACACTTCGATTTAAAACGAAACGAATTTTCACAATTTACTAAATTTATTGATTCTCTTGACCAAAGTACAAATTTTAATCATTTTAGTAGAAATCATACAAATTTAATAATATTTTTATGTAATTAAAATAATTAATCCTCCATATTAAGTTGTATTAGAACAATCAAATACGTGGTAACAGTTCCAAAGAGTATTAAAAGTACAGTGTTGTCGATTGGGTAGAAGCCACGAGCAGAGAACAAAGGGTACTTGTTAGGAGATTCTTCAGCAATAATTTTCAGTTCGTCGATCAACAACTTCAAAGATTCATCGTAGAGGTAAATAGGTAAATCATTTATAACCGTTCTGGAAATGAGCGACACTTTCTTCGCTTCTGCAACGGCTCCGTGGCAAGAAAACGAAAAAGGTATAACGAATGTCTAAAACAACTAAAATTGTCATTGATACTATTTATTTACTATGTATACTTACAAAAGTGCTTATTGCTATTAGGGAGGTAATAGCAACGTAATGCTTTCCAAAATCAGGATCATCCATACCACTGATGATATTCCCTTTAATTAGTTGAAGAAGTACCGAATTTATGGGATGCAACATACCGAATACGAAAACCATCATGATGAAAATCACGGGCACTCCAAAGATTGTATTGAAGTCTCTAAACATTATCAAGAGACTTTTATGGATCTCATTGATTACCTTTACTGATTTACTCATGTCATTGGCGATCGGGTACAGTAAATCTTTTTTAACGTACAGGTTGATCCTAGTTTGGGATAAGTTTCTGTTCAGACACTCGAAACGGTATTTGAACGTTAAAGCTATATTGTGAACTAGCATTGAGGTTGTAAGCAGTTGCAATTTCTGAATGTTTTGAAAGAAATAAGCCCAATTGGATTTGAAGCCGTAAGCCAAGTCCCAGAATATTTCGTTGTAACTTAAACCAAAGATTAAAATGCCGTAATACAAAGAACACTCCACGTTGAATCGTTTATTGCTTATATCATCCTGCTGCTTGAAATATTTAGAGTCCAGAATTTGAATCTTTCTGATCAAAGTGTTTAATTTCTTCCAATGCACTAGCCGCAGAACAATTAAGTTGATCAAATTTGCGAGAGTAAGACAAACGTACGAACCAAAGTCTAGTAAAATATCCGTGTAATTTGGAGTGAATGGATAAGTGCTGAACAATCTTTCCTGGAGCGATAATACAGGCATGAAACTGAAGATGGATATGACCAGAAAGGCGTATAAGTATTTACCATTCTTGACATTTTTGTTACCGAAATTATACAGAGGGACTAAACTTAGTACAGTGGCTAAAATGTACAGTGGTTTTATACTTTTCAAATCAAGCCTTGTGCCCATTTTTGGCTTTATGGTGTTTCAAGGGAATATTTCACTAATTCTGTATGTTTTGAGAGGGTGAGGGACAAAAAATTACGTGTAAATATTTACATGATTTATTAATGCACGCGGCGTACAAACACCTTGCTTATATATATATATAAAAAAAAAAACAAAAAAGTTTAATAATAGAGTCAGAATAAAATAAATACAGAATTTCTTCTTAAATAATTAATGAAACCAACACGCCATATGCAACACGAAGCACCACGAAGGCAAAAAGTCCTTTTAATGTGTTGTGTAGAATGAACAATCTGTAAACATACATGAATTAAAATATTAAATATTTAAAAAAAGATCGTTAAAACATACTTCATCCATTTCTTTCGAGCTTCAGGAAGCGTCGAAGGATCCTCCTTCATCAGGTAACTCCTTATGCCCATGGTGTTCATTTGCGAATGGTAATCCCAGTCTATCGACCTCATATCGAATGGGAAGATTTCTTTGTCTTTGTTGGATAAATTGTTCCACATCTCTTTTGTTCGTTCATCTTTGAAAGACCATGCACCCATTGAGAAGTATGTGATGACTTTTGTGAATTTGTGGATTTTCTTGTAAACTTTCATAAATCTAAATAAAAATGTATATTAGGTTAATCTTTCACTTTAGTTTTTAACAAACTTACTGTGGCTTTTTACCAACGACGATGCACGAAAAATCGATTAATAAAGCCGGAATGAAATGCAAGAATAAAGTATAAAGTAAATGCATGTACTTATTTCTGTTCAAAGTTAGACTGTAGTACCATACGGCCTGCATTACAGGCACGTGGAGTCCGTATTTCTTGTTCATCGTGCAAAAATCTTGCCACGTGATTGGATTGTCTCGGGATTGCACAAAGTTGTAAATCGGAAGGTTTTCGCTCCTAAAAACCATTTGTTAAAAAGTAAAATTAATTGCAAATAGGTTTATTAGATAATTACTTTGTAACGGCAGTTTTATATGCAGCACTGATAATGCCATTCACTACATAGTCGATTGGAACAATTTCTGCAATGCTAGATCCATTGCAATGAAGTGTTTTCAATATACCAACGCCGGCTCCTGTTATAACTCCTGTAGGTCCATACACGTTGTCAATCCAACCTCTTATAGGTTCTTTGTAGCTTGAGACGACTGAGAAACGATATAATGATTTAACCAGTTTTGAGGATAATTGTTAAACTTACCAACTGCTGGCCTAAATATGCATATGGGTAAGTCATCTCGGTACTCTTCAACTGTACCTTCTGCAATTGCTTTCGTAAAGGCGTAAGAGTTTGGCCATTGAGATAACAAACTGAAAAAAATAGTTTTAAGAAGTTATGATAAGTTTTATAAGTTATTTTTTTAATATAAATTCATACTTATATAATATATACTTCAAGATCAAATAGAATAATATGTTTTACAAATTTGTATATAATATTAAATTGTTGTATATGTTTTTTTAAATTATGTAAGCCATGAGTAAAAGTCTGTCAGTAGTACCAAGTAATGGTAATCATGGAAACCAGTTATATTGAAACAGAAATGTCAGTTGCACTTTGCCTCGTTTTACTAAATGTTGTTTTGTAAAAAGTCTTCAGTCTGACTGAAATATAATTGAAATAGATATGTGTAAATGATAATTGGAAAGTGTACGTTCCTGTGAACGATGAGTACGTTCGTGCGAATAAAGACGTGAATGTGTGGAAAAGGATCATGTATCTTTGTTTAAATGAGTGTTCACCATCCGATTGACGTATGGCAATTTGTGTAAGTTTAAAATATGTTAATAGTGAGTTAGCACAATTAATACGACTATTGAAAATATTGTTATGCAATAGCGATCATTACATAAACTATCCGATTGTTAAAACTTGTTATCTGAAACGCATTCTCTTTCGGATGAGCTTGTTAACTTGTATAGTGAAGCAGTAATCTCTCAGTCATACTCAGTAAAGACTCGCTGCAATTATGCAACCGACTAAAAGATGTTGAGAAACTTGTCCCGGATCAAAAAAGGAACGTTCAGTGCTCGAATTCAATGTGCGAGACGACGAAAGTGAAATCAATGTACCTGGGCGTCAATTTCTCTAATTCTTCATCGGATTTCGACTGCACCAGACTTATGATCTCCTCCGTTCGGAACGGCGGTTTGTACAATTTTTCCTCGATATTGTACATGTGGCAATTCGAAAATGCAGTGCTGACGTGCACGAAAGATTGCAGATGTTTGCACTCCCTTCCAAGCATGAGCATCTCTTTTGTTCCCTTCACATTGATGTCCACTGCCAAGTTAATTTTCTCATCGAAACGAACGGTTGCAGCCACATGAAGTATTATGTTAGTCTGAAAAAAAAATCCAACAAAATGTAAATATTAGTATATATTTCAAAAACGTTTTTAATATATTACTTTCGATGTGATAAGTTTCCTATCCTCTTCGCTGATTCCCAATCCTGGAAAACTGACGTCCCCTTTGATTGCCCTAATTTTATGCCTGAATTTTGGCTGTGCTTGGTTCAGTCTATTAAAGAACTGTAAAGAAAAATATAACAAAAATTAGCTTACAATTAATCTCATCATGTGATGTAGGTAGAAAAAATGGATTTTGGTTCAAAATTATAAAATAATATAATTCTAAGTAATTGTATTATTCCGAACGTAAATTAATTAAATGAAAGCATATGGCAGATTGAAAACAGGAAACAAGTGAATTGCAAAAGATTGTGGTTTACTATACTATAAGAGTGCTACAATGTTTTATGCTAATAATTTATCTGTAAATACTTTTACTAACAATTCTTGCAATGTTTCAATGATAATTTGCATGCACGTGCACACATTTCAATTGAATAAAAACGAATTTGCAAATGTTAATAGTAAATTATTGTTACAGATAAATAGTTAAAGAAATATACAGATAATTAGTTAATATTTAATATTTTTTATATAGATTTACTATAGTCCGGTTTGAAATATTCAGAAAAAATTGAGCAATAATATAAATAAACAACATTATTTTTTTTATAAATATCTTATTGTTTTTTTTTACCGTTTTGTCGTGGACGACCAATTTATTATCATCTATTGTATAATTAAATGTATATTTGTAAGGTCTATCACTTTCTTCTTAACTATTTCAAAGCATATTTCACATATCCATCAAATATACAAACGGATACTTGTTCGGGATTATTTAGAATAACTTGTGGAATATTCCGAAGAACGGCTACACAATAAATTGTTGTATTTTCCACAAGGTCAAAACTAATTTCCTTTTTGAAATGGATACATTTTTGTATTATATTTTGTATATAAGTTAGTCATTGTTGGAGGGCCCAGCGAAGAACATAATCTTAGTTGGAGGTTCGAAGTGAGAACATGATCTTACTTGAAGAGTCGAGGAAAGTTCACCTATTTTCTAATTATTAATTTAAGAGGATAATATAACTCTTAGTTAATAATCCATGAGATCAATAGTTGTATAGTTGATTTCTTAATAAAAACACTGATATGTACAATAAAATTAATTAGTAATATTGCATTTATTATTCATAAACTCCTCTAAGGCTCCATAGCGACATAACTGGACATAACTACGAGATAATCCACGGGTCCAGAGATTTCTTAATTCCGGGACATGACAGTTTATAGGAGGTTTATTTTTTGTATGTATTTATTTCTTCGATTAGTCCGGTTTCAAACATCCGGAATCAATTACCTACACTATGTGAGGTATTACTGTAGTTACATTTTCTATAAATTATTCTCACGTTTAATATTCAATGTACATGCGTAAATTAACGAAAAGTTATTGGCAAATATTGATTTTTGAACATTGTTCGCACTTCTGTGGACAAACATCTGATTATTTACCGTTACTTTCTCGATCGAGTGGCAGATTGGTATGGCAAATAAAATGAAGAGAGTAGCCAGCACAACAGTCTCATCTTGAGCGTGAAATGTACATTTTGAAACAGATTTACGCAACGAGCGGTTAGCCAATCAATGTGCACGAAATATGTTTTTGCATTGACTAATTATTTATTTACAAATTGTGTCGGCTTCTCCAAATGTAAATAAACGCGCGCCAATATCGATAATTTGTTTACGAACGACAATAAAACAATGCACGAAATCCTCGACGAACGCTGACGCAACATAACCGACAATAATTATATAATCTCGACGTCGTCGCGTTTATTCCAAGCATATTCGGATTGCATGTTAATCCAAAAATTTATTCGTTTATTTAATGAAGATTCTTTCAATGCCAATTACAAATATTGAATATTAAAGAATTGTATAATCCCACTTTAAATCCTTCTTATAAGTTTGTATTTTCATATTTATAATTTCCATTTTATTTCTTTTATCTAAACAGGATTTGAAATTTGAATTATTTATTATATTGAAACACCTATATGTAATGATGTAAATCTTATTAATATCTTACATAAAGTCAAAATAATTTAAAGTTTAAGAGCTCTGAATAACCAATTAAATCCTTCAATATTTTATTGGAGATATTGGCATTACAGCTTTCTAAATTAAAATTTTACTATAGATAAATCGACATTTTTTGAAATAACTTAAACATGTAGAACCTCGTTTAGGGTTTCCTTGATTCGATATAATGCCGACTACTTGAAAACCAAAAAGTTCTATATTTTCTATATGTTAAAGTAACTTTTTTTCTACATATTAATATGAATAGTTTAATGATGTTCCGTTTAGCATTTGTTGTCTAGAAACGCAACCCTAAGCACAAAACGAGGGTTTACTATATAATTAAAGCAAATAGAAGATTAACTAAATTAAGAAAGATTCATTGTTTTTTTAATATATGACGCATACATTTGAAATTTGTACTTCTACCTAAAATCTAGAAATGAGGTAATTATTTTTATTTCTAAAACTATTTAGTATCAAGAAATAAAAGTGATGAAGCTATTTGGAAGTATAAGATGCACCAATAATTTGATATACTTTTTAATAATATGAATGTGTACTATTTCGTTATATAAGATATTTTTTATTCAGTTAAACAAACAACTTGTTTGTTATGTAATCATACCTGCATTTAAGCAAGTTTAATCGTTTGCAATTTATCGAACTTTAAGTGGTTACGCATTTCAAAATTAACGTGTTTTATATGTGTTTCTGCAAGGAAAATGTAAGTGTAACAAAAAGAGAAAAGAGTGATTCATGTGGTTTGCAACAAGGAGTGCAGAAATGAACCAATTATTAACATACGAGTACGAGAATTATTTCACAGATGATAGACGAGCGTAATGAAAATAATTGATAATATAATTTGCGTTTCTTCCTGGTACGTAATTAGACATTAGACATAAAATGTTTAAGGAGATGGAAAAAAATCTGTAAAAAGCAATAACATACATTGCGGTAGAATACATTTAGAATGATTCACTTTAAGATCCATGATAAACTGGAAATTTCCTCAGACTTTTTGTTTGTTTTATGTACAAACTTTTATGCGTTGTAGACGTGGACATTTTGCAAATTACGGAATTATGTATGTGGTATTTCCTTATTTTGTGAAAACATTTAATAATATATTATATACTAAATTGTATAATTTTTAATTAGTATTCCCTACTTAGCACAATTATTTTATCTAGTACTGAATGTGTCGAGCTCTTTGGAACCGTACTAATCAAGGAACTTAATATACACAAAAAGAGATTTGACTATATATATTGCTCAATTAAAATTTAGTTTGTTTTAAAAGCGGACTATAGTGAATCCGGACTGACCGAAGCCACACTGTGCGAGGTGCATTGAATAATAATCGTAGAAATTTTCTAACAGTCTGTGAAAACAATGAATTATGAATAATGTAATTGTATAACATTGAATTATTTATATTTTACTATATTATATTTTTGCCACTCCGCGAAATATTTCGTATATTTTCGCAGTGAAAAGGTTGAAGAATGTTAATTTGATAATTAAAATAAGGTCAAAGATTAACAAAAAAATATTCAAATTGTAATCTCTTTTAATAAGGAAATATATTATATTCAAGAACATTATTTACATTAATAATATTCTGTTTTATAATTTCTTAGAGTAAATAATTGACTTTATTCACCTCAAGTGTTGAAATAGCTAAAGTATATTTGTTTAAAGATAATTTATACAATTTGGCGAATCTAAAAATTGAAATATCAAAAATATATACAGTAAAATGCAAAAGAAGAAATTAAACTTTTGGTAATTTAAAATTTACTTTCTAATTCAGGTGTTTGCATACTAAGGAAAATTATCCCAAATGGGGTAAAAATGATTTATTGGTGATAATGAGGACGTTCAACAATTAAATTTCATATATTTTTCTCCAAATAATGGATCGAATTTAATTATATTTACATTACATTTAATCTAAGATTTATATTTGTTTATTATTTTTTTTAAATTTTAATGATTGAAACCAAATTTTATATTATTTATTTTTATATAAAATAGTAAATTGACAAATTATAATTTCATGAAAACAATTCAAATTTTATACTCAAAAGTTTCACTGGTTAAATATATATTAAGTCACCTATTTCTGAATAACACAGAAGTCTTGACTATATATACGATGTAGTGGAACCTCGCGTAACAAGCATTTCGCTTAACGAGCGACGATTCGATATAACGAGCATAACGAGAAGAGAAGTCCCGGATTACGCGCCTTCTACATCATTTTTAAAACGTATGCACACATATGTGTATTTTTTAATATATTTCACTATACGGATTAAACTCGTTAAGCAAGGTTCCACTGTATAACTAAATATTTATTTTACTATTAATCTCAATATATAAGATAATACAAAATATTGGTGAAAATATAAGTTATTCAATTTGTTTATTTTTTAAAGTCTATTTTTTATTTACGAATTATAAATTATTTGGAGGTTGACAAATTGTACAATATTTTTTTATAATTTTTAATGATCTTAAAAAACATTATATTGTATACCATTCATTTTCATTTTATTAAAGCAGAATTAAAAAGTTATATTTATATTTCTATAATCGAAATTTTATACTGAGTCATGATAACATTATTATTCAGTTCATTGGCTACAGTCTTTCCATATTACAAAATTTTGCTCGAATAACGTAAGTGCAGCAGCATATTTTCAATTTCATTTTTTTCCTTCAATTTAGCAAACTTCCAGTATTTAGGTTAATTTCTACTCTTGCAACTCACATTGAATTAATTTAACAATAATAGTTCGGAATGTTTACATATTTACGTCCTTGTGTTCATTTTACTATAAAATATTATTACAATCTACATAACAAACTAATGCAAATCATTTTGTTAATTGAATTGAAACCAAACTAATCGAGGACTTGAAAACTCCTGCAAAAAGAAACTTGACTGTATAAAGTAAAATAAAAAATAATCATTTATATATAAAATTATTTTCTATTTATTTCGAATTTAGTTTTGTTTTTCTCGATTAACATTTAGTTTCTTTTGACATTTTCAAAGCGGATAATCAAGAACTTTAAAACGCGTAAATTATTAATATAAATAACATATCAGTTAAAGATTTTATCAAAATTTGTTGATTAATTTCTATGGAATATTATAATATAAATAGTTTAATAATTATAATTCTTTTAATTCTATTCTACCAAAATTATTATTTATATCAGTTTATTACAATAAAAATTTTATATTTAAAGTTTTAATAATTTTTGAAATATAGTATGATAAACCTTATTTATATAAAAAATTGAAGTATTTATAATCGAGTACAAAAATACAATTATAAATTTATTTGATCATCAAATATTGACTAATTTAAATTTAATTTTAAGAGTGATATATATTTAATTAGTTTTGAGAAAATAGTAGAAATAGTTTATACACAGTTAAGAAAAAATCGATTAAATTAATAATCTAAATTGACGAGGATGAAAAACAGGTTTTTTTCTTAAATTTTGATACAGTAATATTTCCTTTTTATATATTTATGAAAGAAAGATTAGGTTCCATTCGTGTGTTTCAATATGTGTATATGAACATAAATTCAATAATTATGATATTTATTACGAAATTATTATTTTAAACTCTATTTAATAACTGATTTACAATTGTAATGATGTTAATTAAATTGCAAATGGTTTTTCTATAATTACTCTCCAATTACATACATTTTGAACACACATAATGCAATCATTAATAATAGATATTTTTCAATGAATTTTCTTTTGTTATAATTTGATATAATTTATTGTATGTTTCTAGTAATGGTAATTATATTAAACATTTTTTTTATTATATCGTTTTAACATATATCATTTTTTTAAACTTATTGTTAAAATACTAGATTCATACAATACTTTAAACAATTTAAAAAACTATGTGTTAACTCAAATATTTGAAATTATTATAATTTGAATAATAATAATAACATTTATTACAATTCATTTTTATTTATGTAATATAAATGTAATTATTAGTGAATATTTTTTTAATTCTATTTCACAATTGCTTTATAAATGTAATGAAGTTGATTCATATTTAAATTATTGTAAAATTCTTATATTGATAATACACATTTTCATAATATAATCTTTCATATTTTATAATAAAAAAAAAAACCTAAAAAAAAATGTCGTCAATACTTACAACATCGTTGTACATCTCATCAACTCTCGTATGGATGTCTTTGCCTTTCTTTTCTCTACATAGTATAAAGACGGTGTCCAGATCCTCGCAACTCCTGAGCAGCTTCTCCACCAGAGCCTTCCCAAGGAAACCTGTGGCTCCCGTCAGGAAGACCGTCTTGGCTTTCAGAAAGTTCACAATATCACTTCCCTCTGTGCACACCTCCTCGAATTTATTCAGCTCGTTCATGTAGATGATGTCCGGTGTTACGAAGGCCTTCCCCGACATGATGGCAGTCTCTTGTCTTTCGTTTGTGGTCTATAGAAATGTAAGTATACACGTTGGTATGTAGAGAAGAGAACGTTCTCGCGTCGTGCGTAGACCGCAAACTGATACTGCAAACGCCAACGGTTCAGGTGTAATTGCACAATGTACCCACTACCACCTTCCACATTACCTGGCAAAATCGGCCTCCTTTTTATACTACACTATTTACGTTCGGTTCAATTGTTCCGAACACAAGAAAAAAAACAACTCTATTGTCGTTCCCTGCACAATGCCTCGTTTAATTAATCTTTTGAATTAACGCGAAACCAACTTGCAGATTTGTGACGTTTTGATGACATTAAATTGTTTTTTAAATTTTGTATGGAATGGATTTTTCGTGTATTTTGTTTGATTGTTCATATTTTTAATCTAGAAAACAAATTCTTTAGAGATGAATTATTAATAGAAAACGGCCATCTGGTCAGAAGAATTACTTGCAAACAGTTAAACATCAGGATAGCAGAACGAAGTATGAAAACTAGCAATAAATACCGGTTTATCTTTGAAAGAAATAATGAGCTGTAAAAATATAAATCGGCATTTCTCAATAGAAGTGAAAGATGTTAGCATGGAAATGGGCAATTGCAAATGCATTGGCGTGTTTAAATATATTCGAATAACCGAATCAAATTTAAACAAACTACCTAAGTCAATAAATAATATGAAAGTTAATTAATTACTTTAATATTCATATTGACAAAAAAACAACAACAATTGTTATAAGAATTTTAAGAACAATGCTTCATTATTTCAGTAAATACGGTAATACCTCGTATTGTCCGGGTAATCGGCTCTGCCAATATACCGCACTGTTTGTTACTGGACTGATTCAGGACTTTATAACCGCTTAAAATTAAACAGCTCAAAAGACACTTGACTATATAGAGGAAAAAAAATCATTTATGTATAAAAATAATAATTATGTATATTACTTTTTAAGATTTTATTTGTACTTTGAATTACAATTTAGTTAGTTTAGAAATTTTCAAATCGTTCAAACCGAACTATGCGAAGTATTAATATATATATATATATAATTTAAAGAATCCAATCAAATGAAATTAAAACTAAATAACAAATAATTGTTGTTATATAAAAGTTTAAAAAATGATTTTTCATTTTATTCAAATTTTATTTATTCATATATTACATGCAATACCTTGTATAATGCAGGTGACCGGTTTCGCTAATATTACGGACTGTTTGAAACTGGATAAATCGAGGAATTAAATACATAGATGAGAAAAAAAAAACGATAGTTTCTGTATTAAAAAAATACTTTTGTATTTTAGAATTAACTTTTATTTATCTTAATTAAAAGTTTGTTTGTTTCCAAATTTTCAACCCGCATTGCTATAATTCTAAGTTTATAAAATAAATTTTGGATTTTTCATTGAATAAACATACTTCAATTACTTTAAATAGCAATGAACAAAGTATTATTTCATTTAAGTACATTGCTATCAAAACATCAATAAAATAAACATGTTTATTAGAAGTTTTTCAGATTAGCCATTTTTGAAAATACAAATAAATGACTTAAAAAAGTGTGATTGATATAAATAATTATAATTTTGTAGTTCTTCGAATTACAAAAATCTAAATATATTTAAAACAAATATAATTTATGCAAATATACAATTATTTTAATATATTATATGATTCAAAATAGAAATTATACAAAATTGATCAATTAAAGAAATTATAGTAATTTATAGTGCATACATTTTAATAAAAAAAGTAACAAATTAATCACTTTTTATATTGATAAATATATCAAGTAGTTTTTTTTAATGACTATTAAATTATTTTATTTTGTACCCATAATTTTGCCAATAATTTATTTTTCAAATGAAGAATAATATATTTTTCTTAATCTATTTTTAAATTGATTATTGACCTCGTTTTCATTGCAACACACGTATATTTTTATACAATTCTCGCCTGTAATCGCAAATTTTATATTAAAAAAAATTAACATAACAAATAAATTGTTTTTGTATACTTTATATAATTTTTACCTTAATTTATTGTAATTTAAATTTTTTTAAACAATGAAATTATTTTTAGAATTTACAACAATGTAAGAAAGGAATAATCGTGGAACTGGAAAAGTAAGTTTCAATAATATTTGGATTTAATTTTTTGGTGCTAATTAAATTAGCTTCTATCGAATCATTTCATTTTATTGACTTAAAAATTATGTTATTTTTATACATTTTATTTACTATTTACATTAATTTATTTCATTTTATATTTTCTTTTATGCAAAATCCTCATTTGAAATAATAAATATTTTTTGTTTCTACTGATTTTTTCTTCATTTAATTGATTTTTAATATTTTTACATTGACTTTTCACCTTGTTTTCATTTAAAAACGTATTTTTTTTCATAATCCTCGACTGGAATCGCACAATAAAACCAAACTTTACACAATTCACGACGAAGGAAGAAACAGAACAACGTGAAACAATGGAGGTTGGATGTAGGAATCGGTTAAAGAGAACGGTTTCAGATGGAAACAATAGTGATTTCCGGTAAAAATTCTATAATTCTCAATGAGACTGCGTGTGATATATTTCTAACAACGGTGAATACATTTGAATAGTAATGAGATTGAATAACAAGAGAGTTAATTACATTAATTGTTTGATTTGTGTACTTAATTGACATCATTCAAAATTCATTTTTTATTTTCAAATAAATGAAATTACTCATAACACAAGTGATTTGAAACAGTAATACTTCACATAGTCCGTTTTCAAGTCCTCGATTAGACCGGTTTCAAATAGTGATATTGGCAGAATATCAAAGATATTATTGTAGTAGTTAACATTTGTTTTAGGTTTAGTGTACTTGGGGAAATGTAGAAACTTTTTAATATAAAGGGTGTCCCAAAATGAACGCAAGATTTGAATTTTCCGCAATTTGTGCAGTAAAGTGTTGAAAACCATAAAAAATAACAATTTGACACTTTACTGCCCAAATGGCGGCAAATTCAAATCTTGCGTTCACTTTGGGACACCCTATATAATAGTTATGATTTGAGATTTTTTATACTTGGATTAATATAAATTTGAAGATAGAAAATTTAGTATTGTACTACGATTTGCCTACACACCTGTTTGAACATGATTGTAGAGTCATCGAACTTCACTAATAAGAGAGGAAGTATTTAAACAACAACAATTTAATCAATTTAAAAAAAAAAACAAGTAAATACATTGATTTCGATATTTACGTCATTACACCAAATTAAGAATTAATTAGTTTCAAGCTAGACGTCAACGTTCTCTGATTGAATGAGACACCTGATGGACGTGGGCATGTTAATTCTATTATGCAGCATTTGCTCACAAAAAACCGCACATGCAAAGATGTAATCCAGCGTCCCCACCGACTCGCTACTTTACATCTGTCCAAATACTGCCACCTGATTCTGGCAAAATGCACCGGAACCCGAGTGTGCTCAGACCACAAACGACTAAGCCTGTTTCCTCCTGACACCTATCTTCTCGTACCACAGACGTCTACTAACTTCTCTTCAAAAATTGAAATAAGAGGTACCGACTCGTATATTCTCTGCCATTCCAACATCGACTGGGCCCTAATGTCGGGGCAGATATCTAAATTGTGTAATTTAATGTTTCTGTATGCCCCAACGTGTCCACCTTTCGCCAACTCATCCGCCTTCTCGTTTCAACTTTTTCCTTGGTGACTTAGATCCCAGCATAGAATAACCGAGAATCAGAGAACCAGAACACACTATCACCCTCCGGATATCGTGGGTTGGCGTCAAAAAGAGAGCTCCATGGATGGCATACAGCTCGGCGGTGTAGGAGGAGGCAAGAACCGGAAGTCTTCCCGCAGAGGAGATATTCAGAATTGGAATATGATTGCCGAAGGACACTGATCTTGGATCACTCTGGAGGGACACGTCCGTAAATATATCTGTGTGCGTGGGGAATTTTTGCATCTTGATATCCTCGAAAGCACGATTCTGCCATCCCGAGTCGGCAAAATCGCTTTTGCAAAAAGGGAAACTGCACACCCTGATCTCATGTGCCTGATCCTGCAAAGTTGGTACTTATAAATTGAAGATCAATTGACCATTAGTTAGCATTTCTTTAAGGTTTCTTGTGCTTTGGAAATGTAGGAACTTTTTGATATAGCTATGATTTGACATTTTTAATGCTTGTTATAATATAAATTTGAATACGATTGTAGAGTCAAGAAACTTCACTAATGAGAGAGGAAGCATTTAAACATCAATAATTTAATTAATTTACAAATCATTTGTTTAAGGTTTCTTGTATTTGGGCAAATGTAGGAACTTTTTAATAAATAATAGTGATGATTTGAGATTTTTGATACTTTGTTTAATATAAATTTAGTAGAAAATTTAGTAGAAAATTTAGTATAATAGAAAATTTAGTATTCACTACGATTAGCATTGAGCACGATTGTAGAGTCATCGAACTCCACTCATTAGTGGAAAATAATTTAAATATCAATAATTTAATCAATTTAGAAAGAAAACAAGATTTCAATTTTCCACCAAATTAAGAATTAATGGGTTTCAAGCTTAAATTTATAACGTGTTTCTTGTGGAAATACTTTTATTTTATAGGAAATTTTAAATGAAATTTATAAGTAACTAAATCGATATATTATAAATATTTATTTTTACATTGAAATTTGAAATCAATATTAAAAAATCTGCAATTTCCGAGGACGTCTATATAGAGAACAATCTTTGGACCTTGATTAAGTCCATGGCCATTAATATTTCCTTGTAAAATTCCAATGTTAGAACAGGTATATTATTGAGGATGAAAAAATGATTTTTGCATTTATAAAATCTCACTACAAGCTAAAAAATAATACATTTCATATTATTGCAATATTTTAAAGCCAAATAATCTTAATTTAAAAAAATATAAAATTACATATTAAAGTCTAATAAACTTACATTCTCTCTTCATATTTTGGGTAATCCCACTTTTTATAAATATTTGTTTACTATTTGATGGGGTCAATGAATACTTAATTGTATATTATGTACAAGAATGTGTTTATATTATTTTAATATAATCATATGTTGTAACGTAGATGCTGTTTTGGCGATCATC